GGTACCGTAGATGGTTGAGGCACTATGCTACAAGCCGGAAGGTCGCGGGTTCGATTCCAGATGAGGTCACTGGATTTTTAAATTGTTCTAATTCTTCGAGCCACATTATGGCCTTGGGGTCGACTTAGCCTCTAACAGAAATGAGTACCAGGAATCTTCCTACGGGTAAAGGGGGCCGGCTGGGCGTAAGGCTGACAACCTCACCGCCATCTGTGAGCCGATTATCTAGAAAATGTGGGAGCCTCCACGGCCTGTTAGGGGGACAGCTTTACCTTACTTCTTACAGGCGACATGTTCGGTCAACGTACACGAATATGACAAAGAGCTCAATAAAAGCAAGAAGTTCTGGAAAGAACTAATCGCCTACTTTCCTCTGATAAGACACGGGCCGCACATAAGACGACGTACAATAATTATTCTATGATATAAATGATCTTCGAACGCAGACTTTTTGTCATGGGTGTCGACAGGACACGAAACCAAGAACGACTGTGCTGGCGAGGCCCATCAGCAATTTACTGCTACTCTCTACTGAGTAAGAAAATGGGAAGACTGACCTGACTGGGAGATGTAGATGATGATTTACGGAAACTTAAAAAGAAGAATTTGAAGTACAGAGAAAATATTTGATAAAGAAAAGTCAAGGCCCTCACGGACACACAGAGACGAGGAATAAGGAAACAACTCTCCACTTATTCTTAGATGGAAATCAGCGGTCAGCTTCACGCTGTGGACGTAATGGATTTGGTAAAAGGGACGCCGATAAACCTTACGTAGGACGCTTGTAATCAAGGAGCGTCTTGCCACTTTACCGACTCATAATGCAATATGAAACAGACGTGCGACGAAACATATCTGTGACACACTTACCAGAATGCGTCGTGTTTGACTCGGCGTCGACGACGTCCGTCCGGATCCTCTTGACGATGGCCTCGTCCGGTGAAGACCCTGTGTCCACATGCTCCTGCTTTATCCTCGGTTTAAGATCTTCATCCTGAGCATTATGATTCAGGTCGTCCGTCTTACAGGCCGGACTGCTACTGCCAGCCCGACGTTTCGGCGTGCTACTGGGAGGCTCATCCATCAGAATATCTGAGGAACCCAGCATCCTCGGGGAAGGTGGGGGAGGGGTACACAGTATCCTCCCGGGTGTAGCGACGCTCGCTGATGCAGAAGACGACGCCACTGCCGCGGCGGCCTTCTTACTGTTTATCGGAGCTGATATGCTCGGCCGACGCGTATTGACGACACTCAGAGGAACCGGAAGTGAGGAACTACCACTTCCTCCGCCTCCGCCACCGCCGTCACCATCGTCACTGTCCGTGTTGTTGGCGTCGCGATGGTCGCCCCCAGAGAAACTGAGGGAGTAGTTCTCCTTGTTGCAGGCGAGCACTTTGTGCTGGATGAATTTCACGATGTCTGCCAGGGCGAACGGCTTCTGGCACACCCCGCATGTCAGGATGTCCTGATGCACCACTTCAGCGTCCGCTGAAACAACGAGCCAAAGGAAACATCAATTGCTACCAGAGTAAAGGTTGCAGTCCATTAAGTAGAAAAGTACAAGTTGCCCCTGTACTTAATTTATTAAGCACCACGCCATGAAGACGTATGTGGAAGTGAAGTTATAGCTCCACTATTCTTGACTTGGCACTAGATGAAGGTGAGGGTTTAGTTTCACGCCCCAGTCGCTTTAAACCAAGGAGGAAAGTCCATCGATACCCATTGGATAGGAGGCTGGGTGGGTCCTAGAGCCGGTCTGGACGCTGTGGAGAAGAGATAAAACGTACGTCTGCTCGGAATCGAACACCTAAATGTCCAGCCTTTAGCTATACCGACTGACTTATCCTGGCTCTTCCTTTAACATTATTACTGCGGTTAAGTAACTCATGATTCTCGACAGTAACAGCGTCCCTAAATAGCCAACTTAAATAACACTCTGTAGTTGCGTATTTAAACACATACACGTACTTTCGTCATGTTAGGAACAAATATTCCCCTCAGCATCCTCTTATCAAAGCCCTCAGTCTGTATTCCGTCTTTCTTGAAGGAGATAACACTTCACATTCATACAAAACAGCAGGTAAAGTGGTATTTGATTCGTGTTCCTGGGTGTGACGCTATGTCGTCTGGTAGAACGTTACCAATATCCCTGAAGACAGAGGCAGAAGTTTTCTCCGAAACGTTGATGATGTGCCGGAATTTACATAGAGCAAGTTAGATCGTGCGATAATCCTTCTGCCTTGTACTCAGGAAGTGTTAGGCTCGAAACCCAGCTGGGGCAATGGTTTCCAAGGTTGTTGATTTTCCTCAGCCCATCCAAGCAAAGGTCGGAGTAGTACCTCATATTAGCCTAGGGACTCTTCCTTCCTGATCCACTTCAACTCGTCATACTCGTATACATTCCAGCAGAAAGTAATTTTCAAGTAAAATGATCTTGTAAAGAGTTCCACCTTCTGGGATATAACGCCGTATACACTTGGTCGTCGAATTACGAACGACTTGGGTTCTGACTGACAGGTCGTATGTCGGCCATATATTTATTAACAGTATTTTTTAACCTTTATAATTTTTTATCATCTTTATAATTTATTTTTAGTAACTTTTACATATGACTCATCTTTTATTTTAAATTTTTTGTGGTCGTAAGTGCGGCCGGTCGTAAGTCGACGACTAAGTGTAGTCCGTTGGAAGTCAACAGACGTTCCAGAAGCGGTATTCTCCGAAACGTCGGCCTACTTTCAACAGACTACAAGACATCTTCATAACCACCGATGTGAAAAACCCAACCCCTACAAATGATTTTGTGTTTAACGTGTAACAGCCGGGAGCCGGTGTAGCTCAGTCGGTTTAGTGACTGGATACGGGATGGACGGCGGAGGAGTTGCAGTTCGAATCCCGGAAGGGGCAAGATTTTTCTCTTCCGCAAGTCGTCCAGACCGGTACTGGGACCCACCCAGCCTCCTCTCCAACAGATATAAAGCGGCCGGACGTGAAGCTGACTCCATGTAGTGCCGAGGCAAAGAATACACGGATCTATATATCCACTCCCCAATACGTCTTCAACGCAAAGAGCTTAACCAAACAAATTTTCCTTTTACATGTAACAGACCTGTTTGTTACTGGAAATGTCATTTCAGATGTTTCACGAAAGGATTTCTTGGCAATAAAACAGCAAAACGCCAGTACTGCGAGGGTTATCACAGTGGTCACCGGAACTGTACGCATGTGCTTGGTCAGTTCCGCCCAGCTGTGTTGCTTTGAGGATACTTTGAGGCACTTCTTTTGGATAGGCTGTTCAGAGCAGTGCCAGTAGAGGTGGAAGTGACCAGCGTACTGACCAATAGCGAATTCTGACCCTCCTTCCCATGTCCACCCTCATTTTCTGACATGCGCCAAGTTCCCAACCCCCCCACACCCTCATTTTGCAACCACTGGTTACACCTGCCGTCCAGTGGTGTCGGACTCCGGGGAAAGTTGTACGCTTTTCGTGATTAAACTTGCGCTTCATAGAAGCAGTGACGGGTAAACATTCCAGAATATTATTTCGTTGTTCGCAGTTCACTTAGAAACACCATCAGTCTCTCACATTGTATGGAGTCCAGTGAGAGAATAAAGAGTAAATAATGAATTGTAGACGATATGGAAGGAACCAAGAAAACTAAGTAGGCCCACTCGTTCATATCGTCACCAGAATATACGGTGAAACCGTTTGAAAATGTAGCAAAATTAAAAAAAAAATATTTTTTTCAATGATTAGAATGATAGCGTAGTTCGGTTGAAGCAATATGCTACAAGCCGGAAGGTCGCATGTTTCATTCCCGATGAGATCATTTGATTTTTCAATTGACCTAATCCTTCCAGCGGCACTGTGGCCTTGGGATCGGCTTAGCTTCTATCAGAAATGAGTACTAGATCTTCCTGGGGGGTAAAGGGCGGCCGGCGCGTAAGTCTGTCAACCTCACCGCCTTCTGTGAGCCGATTGTCTAGAAAATGCAGGAGCCTCGACGTCTCACAATCCTATGGAAGAAAAATACATTATCCCCACATTTGCTTGGAAGTATTGAGAAAGCCCACGAAGAGAGTCGAGATAACTGGTATTCATGCCGAGGTTCGAACCAAGGAATTCCCGAATACTAGACAGAATTATTTCCTTTTCAACCATATTTCTAGACAGGAGAACAACACAGCAGTAGCAAGTTAAAACACGTATGCATACCTTTCAGTTGTCGCGAAAAGTTGTGCGAAAAATATATTTGGATCGAAATGTGTGTTGCAGTTCTGTCTACAAGTTCTTCCACAAAATATTTTTCGCTGCCATAAGTATTTAGCTAGCCGGTCACGGTAGCCGAGCGGTCTAAGGCATGCACTGTCTTCGCTCGCTTGGAAACCGGAATCGTGGGTTCGAATCCCACTGAGGGCATGGATGTTTGTGTGCGTTTTTCTGTGTTTGTCTACAGGTAGAGGCCTTGCGACGAGCTGATCACTCGCCTAAGGAGTCCTACCGTATGTGTAAGATCTAGAAAAACCGAAATGAACGGAGTTCATGGATGTAGGCCTAGGCCCACTGGGGCTGTAGTGCCAAGGGGGAAAAAAGTATTTATCTACTTATGGTCAAGATTTGTAGAGAAATTCATTTAGGTCTTAGTGTGAGGTGGTCGTTATTTGTATCTTGCTTTGACCAAAATTGCAAAAAAAAAAAACAAAACATATTAGACAAACTTCCTAGCATCACACTTTGTGGAGACCCGTTCAATCGTTGTTAAATGCAGACAGACAAGCCGAAACTAATAGATGAAATGTTGCAGATATCCTTGCCGAAGAGCCAAGAGACATAAAAACAGGAAATGGACGTAAGCAACTTCAAACTGTGCGCTATGAAATGTTCTATCACCTATTCTCCTATTTGTTAGGTCAATAAAATGTGTTTAGTACTTCTTCCATAATCACGTGATCGCTAAAACCCTGTTCATCTCACCTTACCAGGTGGTTGCTCAAAACTATTCCACCACTTCTTGTGCTAAACTCGAGGTCACTTAAATGTTTTCCATCACCTTATTTCATTAACCATGTGGTCGCTGAAACATTACAGATCACCTAATTGCATTAACCATGTGACAACTGAAACATTGCAGATCACCTACTTGTGCTAACCACGCGACAACTGAAATATTACAGATCACTTGCTTCTACTAACCACGCGACAACTGAAACATTACAGATTATCTACTTGTACTAACCATGTGACAGCTGAAACATTACAGATCACCTTTTTTCATGAACAACGTGGTCGCTCTCTATTGGATAGCATCCCGTTCCTCTGGTTCGACCAATCACGGCTTCAAATCTAGCGCAGTGTCTGCTGCCACTTCTAAACAACAGCCTCCAATGTCCAGCCCTTGAAGGGCACTTAACCTTGAAGATGGCAAATGCAACGTTAGGAAACCATCAATATTCTACATGATATGCTCCTGAATGCTGAAGCTGTACAGCAGTTCAGAAAGACTGGGAATCACGAAGAGTGAGTGCATAATTGAAGTGAAGTATGGGGCGCTCTGATAAGAATCGCAGTGTCAGCTTTCCCTATGCAAGCGGAGGACATCACTTTGAAGTTTGCTGAATGTTCAAGGACTTGAAATTAAGCGCTCAATATAGTCTCCAAGTACAGCGGAATCAAGTACCTCCCCACTAAACCCCCGGTCAACACTGAAGCGGGACAATTTCCCTTTCAAGTGCATCAAAAAAGTCCCCCTACACTCGATACATTGTATTGAGCTGGACAAAAGGCATAGGCCTCAAAACTTCGTTTAATTTTCTGGTTCGGCACTTCGGATCACAGCGTGGACATGCGCAGTAGTGCCCGGGACAAATACGTCGTCAAGAAAGGTTTATTCTCTTTCGTGAAATACATATGATTCCCTCTTCTTTCAATCCTTTCTTCCGTCACTTCTTAAACATCTTTACTTAAATCAAGGAAACTGAGATGGGTCGAGCATGTAGGACGCACGAGATAAACGTGAAATTCAGGGCTACAGAATTTATGTAGGAAACCCTGTACGAAACACTCTGCTTGGTAGACCTAGTGCTATGTTCTAGATTGGTTTAATATTGATTGCTGTTTCTGGTGGCTGAATGTTAAGACGCTTAATTTTTCATACGCCTCTTATGATTTGACTTCCTTTTTACTTGAAGTTTTTAGCTATTTTTGTTAGTTTATTGGGCGCTTGAATTGAGTATGAGCTGTCTAAATTTAATTTATGGAACTATTTGATTTCTTTTTTCTATTATAAGTATGTAGTATTTTCTGGTTCAATATGGTTTATACCTTATTTCTCTACTTACGGAGTATCGTTTTATCCTTTATCGTTGGGGTATTATTCTTTAAATGTTTCTTATTTGGGATGAGCGGAATATTTAAAGTTATCGCTGTAATTAACTGATCAAGTTCTGGGACATGATGTATAGAGAAGCAGAGGTACAGCTCCATTCAT